AACTTACCTCCAAAGTTTTATTAGCCCATTCGCTGCCATCCTTTTGAAGATTTTCAATAATTTCCTCTACGCACTCTGCAGTGAAGCATTTATTAATTTGTTCTAGATGTGGTTTAAGTAAAAAATCTTTTGCTGTTGGTTTGTGATATTTTTGTAATATATCAGGCACTTCTTCAGAATCACCACAATTTAATAAATCTTGTTCTAATTCACTTAATTTGGCACTTTCACAATAATGTGTAGCAACGCCAGCCTTCAGTACATCGTCACCCTTCAAACGTTGTCCAGTAAGACCTAAATAAAGACCCAATTTACCTTGAAGTCGTGGTAGAAAATGTGAACCACCAACATCGGGAAATAGTCCAATAGCTGTTTCAGGCATAGCAAAAAGTGTACGTTCCGTTGCAACACGATATTTGCCATGAACTGAAAGACCAACACCACCGCCCATCACAATACCATCGATAAGTGCAATATAAGGAATTTTATAATTGCCAATAAGTGCATTCGTTGTATATTCCTCACGGAAAAAGCTCTTCGATTCTTCCGTTGGACCTTGTTCGACTATTGCACGTACATCACCGCCGGCACAAAAGCTCTTATCACCCGTGCCCTTGATAATGACCAACGATTTTGAGGTCTCACACTTTCTCAAGTGTTTATAGATCTTACGCACCATTTCTAAGTTAATTGCATTTAAAGCTTTTGGTCGATTTATTATTATTAAACCTTTCGAAAAGGATTCAGTGGCTAAAACGGCAGATGTCGAAGTCGATAACGCTGCTGACATTTTGCGTATTAATGGATTCGTTTGAATTTTATTAGCTGCCACGGCGGTAGGTACGAGTTCAACGGTAAACTATCTGTGATGTCGACTGAGAATAGAATGTCGGGAAAAAAAATAAAATTAATTTAATTTTAATTTAAAATTGTAAATAAATATCAACAGGTAATTGTATATTAATGTGAAGAAATATATATTTTTTTTATTTATATGAATTTGAATTTACCATGTCGGCTACTTTTTTTGATTAATGCTCGCTTCACACACAAAACACCCAGTTGCGCAACACAAGAACTGTTCTTGCCTACTGCTCTGCTCCACTTTCTGCTTTTGAGCTTTGCCGTAGCTTTTTCAGATTTTGTATGTTTATTGCAAAAAAGTAGTATTTGATAAAATTATAAACTTTTTATTGCAAAACGAATATTAAGTATGTGTAAACATTTGTAAAACTAATAAAGTATAAAAACAACTATATATAAATGATTAATTTTTGTTTTTTTAATATTTTAAGGCTTAATTATTTTTATTTTAATTTTAAACTTTTAATTTAATACTTTTTTATGCAAGAAACTCTGTTTTTGTAGGCTCCAATCGTGCTTTTCTTTTGAACATCCTTTAAATAAAACAAAAACAAAAACAAAATAAAAAAGTATGATTATGTTTTGCCGCTTTGTTTTGATAGCGGTATTTGTGCAATAAATTAATTAATTTTTTTATTAATTAGCATATAAGGTTTATTAAAATAAATATTAGAAATTGAGAACTAAAAGCATAAACATAAAATTTTGTTTAATAATGTTTAATACTAAAAACAACTACGCATTGTCATTTATATTAACAACACAGCATAATCAGACCCCCAATCGCCATTTTCTTTTGAACGTCATTCGCACATTGCAAAAACTGAACACACACACACGTGTAATGTTTTGCGGCTTTTGTGTTTTTATAACTTAATTCGTATTAAATTGACTTTAATTAATATTAATATATTTTAATAAAAACCACACATTAAAAAAAACAAGTCGAGTAATGAGAAAATACTATAAATAATAACAAACTATTTTTATGGGCGTATTGTGCATACATTAAGCACTCAAACCTTTGAACATAAACTAACCTTGAAAATAAAAACAACAATACTTTTTGTATATATATATATATATATATATGTATAAGTCTTGTTACATATTTAAAGTAATACGTAAATAATGCAATTTTTATTAATCATTGTGAGGTTTTTGATTTTTATTTAAAGCATTTGTTTGTATTTTGCTTGTGGTGACGACGTCATCATACTCATTCAACTTCTTTGCCAGGAAATATATTTCAGCTAAAGCAATAACAAGAGCACATATAATGCCAAGCAATAAACGAAAACCAAAATCTAAGTTTCCAATGATAAGTTCTATGCCAAGGAAACCAAATACAAAACCAGCAGCTACAGAGAATACGAATTGCAATACTGCAATTATTTGCTTATTAAGAGCTTTCACTGTTACAAAAAAATATAAAAAAATATATATAATATTAATTAATTAAATATTTAAATTTGAATATTTACTCTGATAGGCAATTGTGTCCTCGGGAAAATTTTTTAAAGTCGCATCAACATTTTTGGTCATTTTTTGATATTCTAAATTTTGTTGTTGTTCACGTAATTTTTGACAACGTGCCTCCAATTCAGGATTTCTTTCAATTATTTCATTTTGTGGTAAAATTAATTCACATTTTTCAATTATATTATGTAAATATATATCAGAGCCATTATCTTTTCTTAACTTAAGTAAAAAGCTATTTAACCATCTTAAATCATTGATATATAAACACATATCTTCATTTATTTTAGGTTCCTCAACTGAATCAGTTTCAGTTTTATCACCAGCTTTGTTATCAAGTTCTGGTTCACTTGAAACAGAGCTTGTATCATCAACCATAACTTCATCAACATTCTTACACAATTCGGTTAACAGCTTCATATCAATTTTAGGTGATTTTATTTTTTCTTCATTTAATATTTCAATTTTTGTTATTAAATCCACTCCATTACGTCTCAATATTTTAGCCATATTTTCTGTTACTTCTGTTATGGCACTTGCATTTTCCCGGAGCAATGTTATTAATTCCATTGAGGGACGCACCTTTATGCGTGTGTCTGCTATTGTCGTCTTTAACATTTTTATTTTATTTTATTTTATTTTGGTATATTGAATTTACTTAGTTATATTTAACTTTAATTGCAGATCGGAGTAGAGTTCTGCAATTTCTTCCTCCTTCTGTTCAAAAGAGTTATCAATGCGTGTAAATCCGTGTTTAAGATCGTTGCAAAAGTTATCCTTTATCTGTTGTCTCTGCTTGCGAGACTCTGCTAAGAAATCACCCGGCTGCAATGAAAGAAAGAATATATATTATCTATTTGACATACAGTCATACACAAAATTTTAATTCATGCAAGAAGTTTCTAACAATTTATATATATATACATATATTTTACTAGAGCAAATACACTTTATGCGAAACATTTAAGCTATTTAGTTAATCATTTCTGAGACCACACAAGCGGATAACACAATTTCACCGGATTACTTTTTTATGAGAAATTAAAATTCTCCATCCACATCTCCAAATTCTATTTAACAGTTAGAGCATATACTATATAGACATTATATATTAAAGCCAATAATGGTTCCAAGACTTTAGAAGAGCGACTAAGAGCCGTTCATCACCCCAAAGGGATATTACAAGTAGATGCTCACGGGCTACAAAAACAGCAACAATGCCAATAGGAAAGTTAATATAAAAAGCATATAATATAAATATTTATATACAATATAAAGCAAAGGAATCATTTCTAAATTTATATCTGCACTTTGTCTCTTTAACCAACTCTTACGAATATATAATAATGTATACTAAAATATAATAATATATACTAATATAAAAAGCACATAATATAAACATATATACAATATAAAACAAACGAATCAGTTCTAAATTCTCTATCTAAATATCTGTATTTCGTCCCTTCAGCCATCTCTTACCGGCTTTTCAATATTTGTTGATTTTAAAAACAGTTCTACACCGCTTAATAAATCTTTTATGTCTGTTGATATTTGATTAAGATTCGCCGTTCCCAATGAAATGCAGCGATCAGATAAATCGTATTTAAGTTCACCTACAGTTTCTGTTAACTTGAAGAGTGTTTCCACTTCAATGTCGTTACGTTTAATCTCAAAATTATTTAAAAAATTTTCAATTTCACCATTGACAAAAACTCTGTGATCTAATATTCTATGTTGTGCATTGTAGAAACCTTTAATAAAGTTGTTGTTTCGATTAATATGAATAAACTCTAAATAACTATAATTACTTACTTTTTCCGATTTTTTGATTTAACATTGGATTGTTTAGCTTAGTAAAAAAAACTTCAAATATTTAATAGGTCAGTCGAAGTTATTAAGTATATTTACAATATTTTCTTTAAATATTTCTTCAATTTTGTCACCTGACCGATTTTGACGTTTAGTGCTTAAGATAACTTTTATCTCTGTCATGTGTTATTTTTTGACATATTTTTACGAACATAGTTTGAGATACAAAATAATAACCGGCGCTGTGTTCAGTTGTTACTAAAATGAAATAATAATATATAAAAATTATACTATGGTCGTGTGCGAGTTAGGCTAAGTTGCGTTCTAAATGAGGGAAATTCTAAGTTGTGTCGACAATGTAGTGATGTGTCGATACGTGTTGATAAATGGCTAAATGTGTGCAGTGCAAAAAATCCCAAAAAATCTCCCATTTGGTTTAGCATCAGCTTAGCCTAACTCGCACACGTCCTATGTTTAGACTAGTGTAAATTTGACAAATTTGACAAATGTGCAGCAATATGTGACATTTTCAATATAAAATTAATATAAATTCCATATAAAAATATACTACAGAGGTTCGAAAATATAGCATAGTGATAACATAGCATTATGTTTAATTATTGAAATAATTTATATATATGAATGTAAACTTGAAGAATTTTATTGTAATCAGATTAAAAAGTTTACAATTTCTGGGAAACAAAGATATACCGTTATAAAACTATATATGAATGCTGAAGCTTATACTATGTTCAGACACAATTTAATTTTGCAAAAATCTTTAGTTCTAAGGTTAGAACTAAATTAAGGAAAATGACTTAATTTAGTTAAAATGTAGCCTGAAATTAAGGGAAATTTCAAATGCAACTATGTGTAAGCTAATTTTAAAGCAAAAGATAAGTTGACGATAACGAAAAAATGACAATTTTTTTAAATAAATGTCAGTGACAGTTAAATTTAATGAAACAGGGAAAATATTTTGATAGTAGTGCAATTTTTTAAATTTTGAATATAGACAAAAAACTGTAATTGATATTAATTTGAAATAGAGTGAAAAATAATAACTCACATACTTAAAATCCACTAAAACTAATAAAATTACTGAATCCCATCAACTTTTAAAATTTCCAAGACACAAATGGTGTTTGGAGCATGCAAATTTTAACATAATTAACATTTAAGCATTCTTTTTGTAAATAAAAAACATATGATATCCTTAATTTGTGCAGTATGACCATTTTTCAAATTAATTTAATTTAAAAAAATTTGGCTGTCTGAACATAGTATTAATATCGTGAAAATGAAATTAAGTTAATTTGGAAAGTGTTCATACTGCCCCAAATTAAGGAAATCATATGTGTTTTATGTATGAATAGCCCCATATACCTTCTAGCGCATTGGTGCTTACTGGTAATTGGTAATACATAATTTATATGAAAATTATAAAATAAGTGTTTTTAAATTTACTAAAATTACTAAAGCGTGAAAAAATTTTTTTTTGCTGATATTTTTATTTTTTATATATATATTTTTTTATATATTTATTTTATGTTTCTTGTATATTTTTGTTATGTATTCATTATTAATCATGAAAATTAAAAATTTAAATATTTAAAAATTCTTTTAATTATTTTTATAGATCGAAATCCTGATGATAGAGTTTAATAAAAAATATTAAAGTTTTCTTATTTAACAAGAAGGGACCTGCAGTCAGAATAAAAATATATAAAAAAACAATTTTTATTTTATATATTAAAATATTTTTCTTTTAAAACTAAGGTTGATGATTTTACTTGTTGAAACTAATTAAATGCGCATATAATATGAATATTACAACTTGTTGTTGTTCTGTTTGTTTAATGTGCAACATAATGTGTTGGCAACACTTTTTTCTACATGCAGCTTGTCACGTACTCGCACAATACATTCGCGAAATGGTTTGTCAGTTATATTTGCACATTTAACAGGTCATTGGTGTTCCCATTAATTTCTTAAGAAAAATCTCAGCATTTTGAAAACCCACCAATTTTACAAATAATGAGCGATGAATTTAAACTGCCAAAACGCTCGAGAAAACGTTTGCGTGAGGTGAAACGAAAAGCACGTCCCGAATTGGGTGACAAAGAGGCGTGGACGGCGTTGCGCTATTATGAAAATTTCCAAGAATTCCGCACGTTTACAGATAATGCTGAACGCATTAATGAGAAAATTGTTTCCTGCGAGGAATTTATACAGCGCTTCGAGCGACCATATAAGCCAGTAGTGATTGAAGGATGCCAAGAGGGTTGGCTGGCACTGGAAAAATGGACAATGCCTCGTCTATCAAAAAAATATCGTAATCAAAAATTTAAATGTGGTGAAGATAATGAAGGATATAGTGTTAAGATGAAAATGAAGTATTATATTGAATATATGCAAGCAACTCAGGACGATAGTCCATTATACATATTTGATAGTAGCTTCGGTGAACATCATCGCCGCCGTAAACTATTGGAAGATTATACAATACCGAAATATTTTCGTGATGATCTCTTTAAGTATTGTGGTGAAGAACGCAGACCGCCATATCGTTGGTTTGTGATGGGACCCGCACGTTCAGGCACTGGCATACATATTGATCCATTAGGGACGAGTGCTTGGAATGCTTTAGTGCGCGGACATAAACGGTGGTGTTTATTTCCAACGCAAACACCTAAAGAATTGCTGAAGGTTCCCGGTGCTGTAGGTGGAAAGCAACGTGATGAAGCCATCACGTGGTTCAGTACCATATACCCACGTACAAAACAAATTGATTGGCCAAAAGAATATGCACCTATTGAAATATTACAAGGTCCTGGTGAAACAGTATTTGTGCCTGGCGGCTGGTGGCATGTGGTACTCAATTTAGATGATACAATAGCAGTTACACAAAACTTTAGTAGTCGCACGAATTTTCCAGTTGTTTGGCATAAGACTGTGCGTGGCAGACCGAAGTTATCGCGTAAATGGTTGCGAGTGTTACGAGAAAAAGAACCTGAATTAGCTAAAATCGCTGAAGGTATTAATATCGATCAAAGTACTGGATTTGCTTCAGATAGTTCAAGCAATTCGAGTTCGTCGTCAAGTTCCTCGTCTTCTTCAGACAGCGAAGGCGGCGATGGTAGTTGCGATAGTTGCTCCAACACCGACAGTGGGCAAGAGAGTCTTACAGCTAAAAAGAAGAAAAAACGACGCATGGGTGGTGGTGCGATGGGTGCCAATTCATGATGTTCAAAGTGTTTTGTTGCTCATGAGTCCGGTTCTGGTACAGATCTCGGCTTAGCAAAGCTGTTAGAGAACCGACTCAAATTGCGACTCTACACTAAAAGTTAACATTTGTAGATATTTAACGGGCCAATGATTAAAATATAAAACACTATCAGAATCTTACACTACTCCTCTGGCTTCATAGACATAGAAATTCGTAATAACTGAAACTATTTTGAATATTTTATTATACAATATTTAAACTCACCACTGTTACAATAGTTAATTAAAATAACTTAATGCCAATTTTAATTTAAAGAAAATAGAACTGAATAAATTTAATTATTTATAATGAACTACTAATATAATTAAATCTCTTTTATTTGTATAAGATTGTAACCGTTTTGATGAGTAAAATTATTTTTATGTTTAAAAAATTAACAAACTCACTTCGTATTCAGATGACAAGTCAATAAGCTTTTATTAAAATAGAGTAAAGCAAATTTTTTTTCTTTAAATAGTTAGATTTCAATTTTCTTTGATTTGGTCTAACAATTTTTTAACCTTTCAAGCCGCCATAATAATATAATCTGTCTAGTGTTTTAAAATAAACCGTTATCTTGGTCATTAGCCTCAAGTTTTAGTAGCAAGTGTCTTTGCTCCCAAATGTTTCTTCAGATTTGGAAATAGTCACAAGAGACGAAAACTGGGGAATATGCTGAAGTAGAGGAAATTTTGAAGCTGATTCTCTTTTTCCCTATCTCTGAAAACTAATGTTGCAACCATCCTTTTAATACTTACTTACAGTATTTATTTAGCTTTT